CAGTCTTCATCCAAGTCATGCCAGATCGGTCCTCGACTTGCAATTTGCCAGTCTCATGCCTGAGCCCGAGTGCAGACCCTCGGCCCACAGGCCTAGTCTTCATCCGAGTCACGCCAGATCGGTCCCCCGACTTGCGACTCGCCAGTCCTGCCTCAGCCCGAGTACAATCCCTCTGCCCACAGGCTTAGTCCTTTCCTGAGTCACACCAGATCAGTCCCTCGACTTGCGACTTGCCAGTCTTTTCCCGAGTCACGCCAAATCGGTCCCCGACTTGTGACTCGTCAGTCCTGCCTAACCCGAGTACAGTTCCTCAACCCATAGGCCTAGTCTTTTCCCGAGTCATGCTATATCAGTCCCCGACTTGCGGCTCGTCAGTCCTGCCTGAGCCCGAGTATAGTCCCTCGGCCCACAGGCCTAGTCTTTATCCGAGTCACGCCAGATCGGTCCCCCGACTTATGACTCGCTAGTCTTTATCCGAGTTGCTCTAGATCGGTCCCCCGACTTGCGACTCGCTAGTCTCAAACCTAAGCCCGAGATCAGTTACTTGGCCAGTAGGTCCAATCTCTTCCGGAGTCACACAGCTTGGTCTCCTGACCAACGACTCACCAATATCATCATGCCTGGGCCCAGCCACCCGACCAACGGTGCCAACCCTTCCCAAAGCACAAGGCACCGCCCCTCGAACTGCCTCACAATGAGCCAATCCAACTTTCCCTCGCAAGCAATCAACACATCTATGGCACTCCGACCCAGGCGCGCCCCTCGCCCTCTCGCAAGGACCCCACGGCACGCCTCGATGGGGGGACAAAAGTGATAAGGTATATTTTGGGTCCAGGTCACGTCATGATCAATGCCACGCCATGCTACATCCAAGTAAGCAAGAGGAGCATCCCCACGCGCTGAGCTAGAATCCATACCAAGGCGTTGCTCAATACATCCTATCCCGGAAAGCTCGGGACAGTGCCGCATAGCACCGTTCCGCGCGTCCTGGGATGTCAGCTGCACGAAGGTACCATCTCACCCCTCGATGATCGGCCACCATGCAAAACCTACGTACGACCGACCCTCATATAGTAGTATAAAAGCCCCTGACTAGCATTCGGCCCAGGGGGAAGGTAAAATAAATCAACCTACCACTTACTTGCTCGTCGGAGGGGCCAAAGTCGGTAATCACCCGACGAGGGCCATCCTTACAAGAAAGCAGCCAACCTCGAGCTACGAGCATTCCGACCTTGGAGTTGTCACCTAGCATCCCGACGACGAGCCGCTAACCGGCGTCCGGACCGAGAGACGCCAATCAACGTTCCGACGCCAACACCCTATCTCGAGGGCTTAACCGACCTCGGCAACCAGCTCAACCGACCGAAGACTCCTGACATTGACCCATGGACCAGGCCATGCTGACTCATCAGCCACGACGCATCAGTTCACCAACAGATGGTATAAAAGGTCATTTGCATTCGAAACACAGCATTATTCTATGAGGAGTTTGTCTTGAATCTAATGAGTGAAAGGAGGTTAGTTGTGCAGCCCCACTTGGCCGGGCTCTTTCCCTTATCAAATTTTATACCTAATGCCATTGAGGTGCTTGTCTTTCTTGCAATTGTTGATGCATAATAAGACTTGTCTTGTCAGTGGACTATGCTTTAGATTGAAGTTGAAATAGTTAGGGCTATGTTGGATCTGCCTCTTAGCAAGTGATTACGACGCTTGAGAAGGGGCTTCAGGCATTAGTTCGATTGATGAGATGACCGATCTAGAGTTCCTTGTGGGAGTTGGAACTTGTCCCGGTTGAGGAACTTGGTGCGGTTGATGAATAATTGGATTGTACGTTGCTTCTAGTTATGCCAATTATGAGAGAAGAGGTACGATAGTCTGCATCTGCGTTGCGCCATTCCGATCAAGGCTTCATCTTATTTTGGGTGAGGTCTTAGTAGGAATGATAACTTCAACTAGATTTTCAATTAGGGAATAAATCTATGATAGTTTCTTTTTTTTTTCTTGTGCAAATGGTATAAGGCGAAGGTGGGATACAATCCTAAGACCTTACGATATACTATCAAAGTCCTTACCAACTAAGCTAATTTATACTTTCGAATGTAATCTGATACTCGTTATTGGTAATGTGATTCTAGGATTGAGTTACATATTCTTGTGAAGGCGGAGGTAAAGGTCTTTTGCATGATGCGAATAGTTGTAACTAAAGTCTAAGAGGGGAGTCTTTTCACTAACATATTCTTATGGTACATTTGTAATTCGAGTTTTTTATGATATTGTCTTAAGGCCTGTCGTTCTAGCACTAGTTTGATAAGGTAAAATTTGGTTGTCAATTTGACTTGACAAAATCGATTCAACCTATCTCATGTTTTAGATACTATCACGTTCGAAAGAAGAGATTCGATCTTTTTTATGAAAGCATGAGATGTTTGTATCTTGTGTCTCTTACCCTTCTCCTCTTTAGTTGGAGTGCAGAAGATAATTGTATATTGTGCCCCACTTGTTGCTGCAAAAGACTATATTAGAGGTTTGTTCGATAAAAAATCTCTCGATGTTTAAGTATTCACGAGTGTCATAAGTTTGTTTTGAGTTCTCACATGTCTGAGATGATTAATTTATATAATAATTCTGACACGTTCGACACTTAATAGTCAAAATGTTCAATATCGACCTCGGGATGGGATAAATGAGTTGCCAGAGTATGATTTTTTACTTGAGAGCTTGTTGAAGCCTTCATTGGTCGTACGGAAGAAGGCTTCCCGCATCACAAGGCATTCAGAGCGGAGGAGAGAGGTCTTGATTTATGGTTCATCGGTGCTTGATTAGAATTAATTTAACATGTCAAGTTGATAGACAATATTATAATTTACGTGTGACTTAATGGCATGTATCACATAAAAAAAACTAAGTTGACATGGCACGTTTACGTACCAGAACTTATTCATAATTAAGCGATTTTTCTTTCTTCTCGTAGTCCATTCAACATTATAATTATTTTTTCTAGAATACTCTTTTTGATAGTTTTCTATGATATAAGGCTCCATTATATCTTCAGTTAAATTTATAGTGATTTTTTTTTCTTTTTACTTTAGTTGTGCTTAATTAGGGCCTTATTATGTAGATTACTATTATTTGCTCAATTAAATTTATTTTATTTTTTTAATATTTTTAAATTACTCTTTGGTAAATAGACTTAAAAATATCCTCCCCTCTTCTTTTTTTTCTTTTTCTTTTTTTTCTCCTCCTTCTTCATATTTTAAATTCTTCATACTCTTCTTCTTTCTCTTGGAAGGACAACGTCTAAATTTGATAACATCAAACAACACCGACAACAAATTGAGAGGCATTGAAAAGGATGACAAGCGATAACCGCAACAAACCACAACAACATCGATGGGATGAAGAGAAAATAATAATAATAATAATAATAATAATAATATCAATAACATTAAAATTATAAATAATAAAAATAATATTTTATTATTTTTAGAATAATTATCAATAACAAGATATTATCAATAGTAAAAAAAAGAGAGTAAGCTTGCTCATATTTTTGATAGCTTTGTTGCATTATATCTTCCAAGTACTGCTACCTTTCAACATTTAATTGATTATAGTTTCCTATTATATCTTTTTTTTCCTTTTTGGCCACAACATAAATTATATGCGTCCATGCTATTAAAGAGTGAATGTTATTCTTAATATGAGCGTGTAGAAAAATAGTCATAATATTTATGGATTCAACTCATTCCCCAAATCTTGCATGGTACCCATAAAGAGAATAAAGCATGATACATGTTAAAGGACAGTTTCATAAAACAAGGCAATGAACTTTTAGTTTACCTAATGATGGCTTCTGATTAAAGCTTTTTTTCCCTACTTAAAATGACATCGAACTTAATTACTAAATGGTGTTTGCGTGCTTGTAACCCAAGGTTATATTACGAGTAATAGTTATAAACAAAAGGAAATACCATAAGAATCAGTTTGCTATTCAACTAATAAAGAGAATCCATTGCAAAGCAACATCATTTCCAAAATGCGAATTATGTTAAAAAATGCTGCTGGAAGAACTAAAGAACTCATTCTCTGATAGAAAAATGAGTTCTATCATCTGATTCAGTAAGTAACAAAAAGATAATCGAGGATAGTTTGACGCATCGAAAACAAAAAACAGAACAAGCATCATCGATACTGGAAATGTTAGAATTTGCGATTTGCCAAGCCCATGTCGCGAAGCTCCCAGAGCGGCTTACGTTCCTGTTTAATGTCTTGCTTAATCGCACGTTGAATCCCCTTAACCACGAAAAAATACTGAAAGTACAAAGCACAAATAGATTGTTTCAAATTTCCAGAATAAATTTCGTCCATCAAGTTCAAAATGGCATAATATACAAAACTGACCTGGAATGCCAGGATAAGGGGTATGAAGAACTTTCCCCTGTCATTTGGATTGGGGCCCTCGATCAACTTCTGGTCCACCGTAATAGGCTTGCTCCCATTAGCGATAACTGTTGTGATTACTTCCACCAAATTTGGAATCCATGGCGTACCATCAGGAAGAATCTGCTCTTAGAAATCATACCTAGTTAATTTCTTGAGAGGCGACACTTCTGATAAAAGAGCAGCAAGAGACGAGAAAGAAAACTTAACATACCTTTTCCCCACCACTGTTGGTCTTGCATCTCCCACTGTTTTCAACCAGGACCACAGGAATGGAAGATTCCTAAGATGATAAAAAATATTAACGAATGTCATAGGAATACTCTAGTCCCATATCAATAAATATCATATTACAAAACCTCATTAAAAGGTACAATATAATCAGCATTGCAATGACAGTTCCAGGAAACAAAGATATCTCGTTCAACAAAAGAACCATAATTCTGAGCAAGGTTTTGAATACCGGTCCATACCGACATACCGAGCTCTGCTCAATACGATACGTACCGATATGTACCATCAGTATGTCAGGGTATACTGATGGTACACCCTAAAATCTTAAAAATACCTCCATCTATTATGCTAGGGCATACCAACCGGTATGCCTTGGTAATGATCGAAATCGAGAGTGGTACCAGTCGGTATGCGTCGATACCGATCAAACACTAGTACTGCCTCGTAGAGGACGATCCACGTACCAATATCTTCTCGGACTAGTACGTACCGCCCGTTCCGGACGATACACATCGAAATTGAGAACCTTGGTTCTGAGAACAAGCACTAAGTCCATGTTAGAGCATAAGTTAAAGCAAATTACCCACATCCAATGTAGATATGTGAGTAATGCTTACGATATCATATGGTTTTTCACAATAATTAGTTGTGAATTCCAGTAAAAACTGATGCATACTAAAAGACTAAATTTCAAAGGCACAAAATTCTACATCACTTTGCAACTTAGAAGCATAATTTCATCTAGCTCATTGATAATTAACACCACTAGAATTATTGCACATGCAAGCACCATGCTCTTGATGTTCAAATATTTTGGTTCCTAGGGCTCCATAGCATAAAGGACGTTCCAACGTAATGTAATCCTAGTTCAAATTGGATATATTTTAGTTCTAGTTTAGGTCTAGGTTTGAGAAATAATAAGAGGAACATTTTTTGCAATTTCTAATAATAGTGCATGAAAAATTAGATCTAGGACACTACACTATGCTACCAGAAATAGGAGACAATATATTTCCACCTATGTTAACACATTTCATGGGCAGCAACTTTCTTTGATCATAGTTCCATAGCAATTGAGCATTCCCAACATCTAAATTTATCTCTCAACATTTTCTAGTCATGCTTCAAATGTGAGAATCTCTTCACTTCCCGAGAGAATAATATATAACATGTGTCTCTCAACAAACCTTGATAATAGAAATTAAATTCAATGGAAACAACATCTGAACAAATATTCCATCAAGAACATTTTCCTGATTCCAATATACAGTACTTCCACCCAAATTGCCCAGGACTGTGTTATGGATTAGTTTTAATTTGTTTTGATATAAATATATAAACGTCAACTAGATATCCAGAGGCTATAACAAAAGGACATCTCAAAAACTTGTCAAGCTTGCTTTGTATTAGTATTAAACACCAACACTTGTTGGATACTTCCTGATACATGTCAAGTACTTCAAAAAACACTAGTACTTTAAAAATATCTGCTATTATGTTAGTGCACATATGTATGACACTCCAGTATACAAGGCTTCAAGACAGGTAAAAGCTGGAAACATGCTTGTAATTTTGGACATTTAAACAATTATTTTATGTGAAGTGAAGTGATTTGCCATATTGTCAAGTCTGTATTATTGCCATTTCCATATTCATCCTTCATAATTTAAACATACACCAAAAGAAGCAGTAATCTAACTGGCATGAGATTAATTTAGGATCATACAGAAGCAATAGTCACTGGTTCTATTTTCCCAAAATTAATACTAGGAAGCAAAAAGAGAAAAAAAAAAATTTGTCACAGGTGGAACACTGCTTGGAACCAACAAAAGATAACTCAAGCTAATCATGACCCACTCTCTTTTGTCTATGTAGAAAATTAAAATAAGATCCAAGTTCTATGCCTAAAATAATTAGGAGCACTGATAGTAGAGTAGGGAACCTTGCAAGCTTGTCATGATCAAACTTAATTCAGCTAAAAATAAAACTTTAATATGGGTTATTTCATTGGCTTACTGAAAGGAATAATCAGTCCTAAAAGAAGGGATTAAAAAAAACAACACAGAGATTGTTATCAATAAATGTACCTCAAAGGCTCAAACAGACCCACAATAAATCAAATCTTGTCCTACTTAAAATTTAGAACTCAAACAGGAATCAAGTTGACAAAATCTTAAACTGCATCATCCTATAACTCATATGGACTTACTAATTAGAACACTTGAAGAACTCTGCCATTTGACATGAAACTAGGACATAAAAGTATTTAAAGTATAACCCAGATTGAAGGATGACAACAATTGATGTTCAATGCAGTTACAATGTCAACAATAACAAAAATGACATCGTTAGTAATTCCTAGTCAAGAAACAACACCAAGATTGTTCTAATCACACAGGATATAGTTTGCCAAGGAATAAGAGTGTGAAAAGGCTTATTAAATTGGGTGGAAAGGGAAAGCTACCCAGTGTGTTAAAGTTACCATCATTTGGCATGGCACAATCACAAGAAGATTAATCAGATGGCCATCAGGATCAATGTTTTCAAACTCGCTTTCCTACCTTGGATCAGAAGAGGGTCCATAAACTTGGTTCATAGAATAGGATAGTAGGATCGTAAGATCCTACAAACTAAATATAAATAAATAAATAAATCATGTGCACTACAGCAAATTTTGACATTGGCTACCAAACGAGCATAATGATAAACATTTATTATAGAACATAAAGAAGAAAAAAGGAGAGATCTACAATCTACACTAGAGCCATTACAAGTTTGCTAGACAACCATGCATTACAGTACTTGAACCTTACTTTTATCAAATTAATGTGATTTTTAATGCTAAATGATACAAGGCAAGTAGAAAAATTAATCTGCTGAAGCAGGCAGTACTTGAACTTTACTCTTTACCAAATTAATAAGACTTTTTAGTCTAAATTATACAAGGGCAGTGCCACAGTAGAAAGATAAGTTGCTTTTTAGAAACAGAAAAGAGAAAGAAGAAAAGATTTATACTGTCAAGTATTTTTTCTGAAAATACTTAAAACCTCAAGCGGTCATGCTTCTGCGAGATAGTAAGGAGAGGAGAGGAGATGGGAGAAGATCAAAAAGAAGAGAGTTGACAAGATGGGAAGAGAGGGGAGGAGAGAAAGGAACCATACCTATGGGCTGTGAGATAGGAAGTGACAATCAATGCCATTGAATGACCGGTAGGTTGCCCTCGTGGATACTCGCTGGTAGGCTTTGGTGCTTGATTCTTCATGTCGCAAGGCGTCTTCTAACTCCCGACTGGTTTTGTCTTGTGATCAGCTAGAATGACTTCAAGTTGCTTTTCATAAGACGCACGGGTGGGGGGTGGACAAGTTGAAATATTTCTAGAAGCATCTTGTCTATTTGAGTGGTATGCTTTTTAAGTTGGAAAATATTGTAAATTTTGAACCATGTCGAAAGTTGTTACTTATAGGAGGCATTGCCTACCCTGCAAATGATTGGGAAGGGCCCTTCGTATTGGCACACCAATCCCTTGTGCACTATTTGCCTAAAGAACTGAGATGCTGGTTAGAGCTTCGCCATCCCAGTCGCCGACCTTGAATTCATCTAGTCGCCTTCCCAAATTTACTAACTTCTTCATCGTTTTGATCGCTTTCTCCAGGTATGCCCATGCAATACTTACATTTCAGTGTCATTCATTTGCAAAGCGATATACTGTCAAGCTATTTCAAATATAGATCATCAAAGTGTGGAGAGTTGGCATGTCCGATAGTGATCTTGAAGGGGCACTTATTTGACTCAAAGCTCCGCTACAAGTTGTAAGAGAATTGGGTTATATGTCTATGAGCATCACCCAATCTCGTTGGTTTGCACCCACGTATGCACGAGATATTGCTCCCAAGCTTAATCGTTTAATTTGGTCATCTGTCCAAGGTGGAGACTTATGGAGAAGTATAGTTTGGATCCCAATAACTTAAACAACTCGGTCCAAAACCATCCCAAGAACCGCACATCTCGATCGTTGATAATATTGTGTAAAACTCTCCAATACTTCACTACATTCTTCATTACTAGCTTCGTCACCTCCTCCGCTGACTTCAAGAATTGATCAACTACCACCATTATCGACACAAGTTCTCTTACAGTCAACAAGCTCAATATGAAGTCCAAGGAAATGCTCTCTCACGACCTCTTTGGTCCAAGCAAGGGCACTATAAGATCCACAAACTTTCATTACTCCACATTGTCTTATTGGCATATGAAGCACGTTCGAACATATTCCTCGACATCAATCCCCATCGTTGGCAAATAGAATACCCTCACCATGAGAGGCAAAGTTGATGCCCGACCCAAAGAGAATTATCACAGTTTTAAGAGTTCACGCCTTCAATTGTCTGCTCGTGAAACATAAACTCTATTCCCGTTGGTATAGACAAATCCTTCTGAGAACTAAAATCATTTGCTTTCTTTCATCAGTTGCATTAGGATTGCTACTTAGGTTTCATGATATAGTTCATCCCTAATCCTGGAAACAAAGTTGGATTGTAATTGACTCCCTTGGCCTCCGTTGTCCAATTGCACTGCATTCACCAACTCCACCTTTCTGCTCAAGGCATCAACCATGACGTTTGCTCGTTTGGGTTTGTACTCTATTACCTTGTCAAATTTAGCTAGAAAGTCCTACCATCGTGCTTATTTTGGGGGGAGCTTTCATCTAAGTCTGGAAGAAACTCAATGCGATAGTCCGTCCTTAGCACAAATCATGTTTCAAGAAGGGGGTGCCTTCGCACTCGTAGACAATGAACCATTGTTGCTATCTCCTTCTCAAGCACAGGGTACCATCGCTCGATCTTATTGAGCTTGAGGCTCTCGTAGGCCACGGAGTGACCTTCTTGCATAAGAACTCCAATAACAAAATCCGAAGCATCCGTGCAAACTTCAAAAGGTTTATTATAGTCCATTCATAAGAGCAATGGTTCTTCTAACACAATAGCCTCTAAGTCTTAGAACGTTGCTTCGCATTTTTCTGACCATTGCCGAGGTTGTTCCTTCTTCGGC